ACTCCAAATTTCATATACAGGGTGTTTCAAAAAACCCGATCCCCTTGCTAGGGTAGGTAGAACACTGCAAAATAAGTTGGATTTGCAACAATACATTTTAAATGCTGAACTCATTGATTCAACAAAAATTCACAAGAATTACATTGAAACAAATTTTACTAAAAACATGGATTACACAGTTTCGTTGTATCAAGCAAAGAGTGTATGCTACAGAGGTAAATTCACGTCTGGAGTTGCAAGTCAGAATTGAACATCACTTAGATCTTAGATGACCTTACAGCTGATCCTCAACCGTTTAGAAAACTGTTGCTTTCTTAAAAAAAAATATCGAATCGTGTATTCGTGGAAACGGAGGTTATTTTGAATACTTACTCTAACCGATTAAATATTTTATGTTTCTGGTCAAATATTTCTCAATTTTCTACTTGTGATTCTTTGTTCAATCGATAACCACAGCACAAGGATGATGTTATCGTTTTTGAATCTGAATGAACAAGTTATTGATCTCAATATAATTCATTCCATACGAGCATCAGCTATTACTCCATTATTTACAAATCGAAATATTCCGAAAACGGAACACAGTACCTATCAAGTTTTACCAAGAGCACCTTTTTTCTACAAACGTCAAAAAATGACAAGGTTCGCGCATTAATAACAAATTGCGAAGTGACACTTTTTTTCAGTTTCCTACGTTACAATGATACCTTGCACAAAACAATGCGCGAAGGAAAACAGATACGCGAAGTACCTACTTCGCACACTGTTATGTAAAATATATGAGATATTTATATTTCGACTTTATGGTCCTCAATCGAGCAAACATCCACGAAATCATTAATGTCTGAATTTTCAACAATAATTTCGTTTGATCTCTTGGAGCGCACGAAAGAAAATTCCTATTATGTTCGTGGAACATCGTGCGTACCTAGGGAGGATAGGGGGATGCTTTTTAAGCCATATCAACACTATTTTTTATATCAAGCTAAGCATATTTTTACTTTAGAACTATATTTCTTGACGTTTGTAGAAAAAATGTTGTATGCAACTCGAGCGCGAAATACTTTGGTCATCTCGACTATTTTTTTCAACTCGGCTACGCCTTGTTAAAAAAATCAGATCTCGATCACCAATGTAGCATTTCGCGCTCTAGATACAAAAATAACTATTTTGTGTGAAATTGAATGGTGTTTGAGTTCACATCAAATTTGGGATGGAGAATTTAACCTCAAAAAAGTTATGTTTGAAACTAATCGGTACGAAACAGTGTTACTAGCGCCCTCTATGAGAGTCAGATATTAAAACAAATTCATGCGATGTGTCAGGTTCCAAAAAACATCCATACAAAATTTCATCACAATGTTGCCAGTAGTTTCGACGTAATCGTGAAAAATGTGAAAAAAATCATTTTTTCAAAACCTTGTATCTTGAAAACGGATGCCGTTACATTTTTTTACTGAAAAAACGCAACTTATTTTGCAGCGTTCTACCTACCCTATCAAGGGGGTCAGGTTTTTTTGAAACACCATGTATAATTTTCTTCTCGTAAAAATCTTCTTTTGAGAAAAAACAATAATTTGATGACCAACAAACTTGTTATATGCTGAAGTAGTTCATAAACATGATTATTGTGCCACCAATGAGGTACGAACTTGCAAAGCATGATAATCCTGACAAATCATAAACAAGTATGGAGAAGCCCCAGAATTAATTATGTTAGATATCTCGACCATTAAGAGAAATTATCAAAATCTACACATAGAAAAAAGTTAGATAATTATTTCTGTTATTCATTAAAATATCAAGACATGGTAAGTGGAATATTCCGAAAAAGCTACATCCATCTTCATCGCAGACAATGCGTGATGCCTATCTCCCTGTGAATTGACTGAATTGATATGACATGCTTTACATTTTATGCAAATTCACTATAGTGAATTGCCCTACGAATTCTAGATCAGTACTTCTGAAGGATTTTGAAATACTCAAGGAAATATGGAAGTGAAATTATCCTTCAACGCCGTCTCACGGCAAAATGGGGCATTTTCGTATAGAGGTCTGTTGATTTCTATTGTCCTGTTTCGGTCTCTCGTTCCTCCAGTAGAATTTATGGTATGTTGTTTCTTCGCACTTTGTATCGATAAATAAGTTCTGCCTATGTTGATAGAACTGTCAATAGTGTCGATGATACTAATGTGATATTCACGCATAGGTATAGCGATGCGTATGTAACTATTGAAACATCAAACATTCTTTGAACCACATATACTTTGTTAAAACTACGGAATTCATTACAGTTGAAAGTGATTTTTCAATTGATGAAAAATGTTTGGAATTATGTGATTATTATAATTATATCAATCCTGGAAATGTCACAACAAAAACCCTATGCGAGCTGTCACTGTCATGTGTGAATTAGAGCAATTCAAATAACCATGACTTTTGGACCGGTATGGACACCACTACCAACGTTTTTAGCTATGGCAGCCAATACCAAGTAATTTATTATGTAGATCAGCTCAATGATTGCTCGATGGAATCATGTGCGATATCCTGATTCCATGCATGCTCGGGGAACAAACGTCTACATTGAAACCACTGTCACTAAAATTATTATCATTCGTCTCTTATATTGCTTCACAATAATTTCATCTAGAGAAATCAAGACAGGGTTAATCTTCAATATCATAATTTCAGTAATAGGAACAACATCGCTGAGTATACATCATGGTGAATGGCATTGCACCTTCAATGGGAATGACAATTTGAATTAATTAGAGATGTTCAAATCTCAGTGTTAGTAGTGGAAAAAATATTATAAAAGGTGTCTCAGAACCGGGTACCATGAATTTCACAGGGTGAACTAGAGACTCGAATAGGCCGATTGATATCAACTTACCTCCATACGAAAATGCACCGTTGAGCCTTGAAAGGGCGGTGAGGAAGAATTTCATTCTCAGATTGTCTTCAATATTTCGAAATCCTTGAAAGGTACTGCTCTGAAATTTGTAGGTCAATCACAAAGAGTAAGGTATTCCGCATTCTATTTCATAAAAATTAATGTAAATTCATTGGAGTACGGTACATTCTTCTGACTGCAGTTTTTCTATTATTTTTCTCGATTTTCCAGAAAAAATACACTATTTATTTTGGTACTCCTTCATAAGACTCGTTTATGATGTTAGAGTTATCATGTTCCGCTCGTTTCTATACCACATTTGTGTTGAGTTATTGACAGCAATAATCATCATGTTCACCAATTCGCAAGCTTTTCATCATATGGAGCTGGTCATTTCAAAAATTTCAGTTCAAGATTTCTGGTAAAAAACCTTTATTCGAGAAAAAATATCAACAACATTATCATGTATGCTGAAGTAGTTCATAAACTCAATCAAATTGGTCAATTACTCGACATGAATGAGGTAAAAACTTGCAAAACATGATAATCGTCATGATTATAAACAAGTATGGAGGAGCACCAAAATGAATAATCTTGTTCAGAAATCTCGAAAACCATAAACAATTATAAAAACACTGCAGTTATGAAATAGTGAGATGATTTATTCTGCCATGCATCGAAAGTAGAAGTAACATTGATTTTTATCAAAGAGAATGCGAAATACCTGTATATTGATTGAATTGGTATATGTTTTCCATAGATATTCACTATAGTGAATTGCTCTACGAATTTCGGAGCAGTTTTTTCTAGAATCCCGAAGTATTGAAGAAAATCTGTAAAGAAGTTGTATTACATCGCCCTCTCACGGCTCAACATGGCATTTTCGGTAAGTTGATATCAAGCGGTCTGATTTGGTCTCTAGTTTCCCTTGTAGAATTTATGGTACGTTGTTCTGGGACACCTTGTATATACCTTGGATGGGAATGTTTTCATGGGTGAGTCGGAAGGAACCCACCAAACTCCAAGTGGGTGTCATACACGTAAAATTTCGAATTTGAATATATGTGTTGCATTTTATGAGACTTTATTCGTACAAACTCGAGAACAAACGCGTCAAAAACACTGACACTGACACTAACACATGTCAGAACAACAAAACGAACCAAACAATCAAGTTTGTACGATTGGAGTCCTATATAAAATGCCATATATCTATCAAAATTTAGAATTAAAACAAATGAGAATCGCATATGAACATAATATATGGTTTTTTTTTAAATAATTTTTACGTGTACAATACACACTTGGAGTTTGGTGCGTTCTTCCCGACTCACCCTATATATAGCTCGCACATTATATCCTAGTGCTTGCTTTATAATTGCTCACTTATTCTCACCTTAGGTGTATAACATACTATCATACCGTTCTATAGCGACGTGTAAGTCGGAGGTACCAAGCTACTTCGTGACGATATAACCAAAAATTACGAGAAAGAAAGCTGCTAATATGTCTGGTAGTCTGATGAGAAGACTGTCAGGCTCTGATTTACAGTGGTAATTGTGGATTAGGAGTAGTTCAAAAAAAGTTTTCTCTACATGATTCAATTAGGCAGAAGAAACATGTTTTTTTGAACATATCCTCTAGTTTACAATTGCAACTTCGAATGAAAAGATATGTGAAAAAAAGGTTTTTTCTGCCTAATTCACAATTGAAAGTGTATATTAGCACTAATTATCAGGTGCAACTGTAAATAGCGCCGCATATATCCGTGATTTCAGATTGGCAGCGTTCAGACGAGTCGTAGAGATCAGTCATTCAAAGTCGGAATGTTTTTCACAATAAGTAGATATAATAATGTATGCTAGACGCCTCAATGCTCTCAGAGATGCGCTACTCTGCTCTCAGTATGAATCTGAGTGGATTATTTTCGACGTCTTGGCACTGAAGTTCATGATATAACCTCACTCCTATCCACGGACGCCTCTGGAACATCTGTTGTTACACTGATTTTAGCCGGCTCCGTGTGTGGGTGTTATTTCCGTGATGTGGCTATATAAATTTCCGATTTCAACATCGACTCCGCTCAAAGCTTTCTGATATCATGAGTGCTCCGGAGGTGAAAATCGAAGAGGGTCTGGTCCGTGGATTCGTCGGGTCCGACTTAGATGGAAATCCAATACTATCTTTCCTTGGCATACCGTATGGAAAGCCGGCGGTTGGTGAATTCAGATTCAAGGTGAGTTGAATGAGAACAGGGGTAGAAAATGCTTCAATTTCTCCTACTTCGCGGGCAATATCTGAGCTACTCAAAGTCAATATTATTATCATAATTTCATCGACACTATGTTGGGTATGACTTATTTTACTATTCAGTACACTGAAAAAATCATAGCGTCAATTGTATTTTGAAAAGCATCACGAATTATATTTCAGAAAAGTCAATTGAATTTCAGTAAGCGTCAATTTCATTTCAGAATAATCATTCTTATTTCAGAAAGTGTCAATTGTTCTTCAGAATAATCAATTCAATCCCAGAAAGCATCAATTGTAGCTCATAGTAGTCAATTGAATTCCAGAAAGTGTCATTTTTATTACAGAAAACATCAATTGAGATATAATGCACGCTTTATGAAATTCCATTGAAAATTCTGAAATACGATTGATCCTTTCTGAAATTCAATTGATTATTCTGAAAATCTATTTCTGCTTCCTGGAATTGAATCGACTATTCTGAAATACAATTGACGCCTTCAAAATGTGAATCGACTATTTTGAAATACATTTGATTTTTTCTGAAATTCTAGTGGATTTTCTGGAATAGAATAGGTGTGTTCTGAAATTGAATTGACCTATTCTGAAATATAACTGAAAATGGTCTAGTATAAGTTGAATTTCAATTGTTCGGGAAAGGAGTGATCTGAATTGATATTCTATTGAAATATCAGGAATATATAGAGGAAATAGGGGAATAGTGAGATTCCAATATATTATTGGTCTTGAAAGATATAATCTATGAGAAGTGTACATATACAGTTGAAGTAGAGTGTGGAGTTAATTGCAGCCTCAGAGTGGGTTTGTCAAATTATTCAAACCCTAGAAACTTATCTGCAAAGGACCCCAAACGATAACATGGGAAATTGGCTCTCGGTCGAATTGGCTGAAATTCTACTATGTTGTTGTGGGATGGCTCATTAGAAAAATCTGTGAGTTTAAAATGTTATGTATGTTGAGTTTATGAGATATAAGCCGACAAAATTCGTAAAAACGTCGTATCGGTATGTAGGATTGACAAAGAAGAAAACTATATAAGTAGTAGTAGTAGAGTATAAATAAGACAAAATAAGCTAGAAATTGATCGGAACAAAAATACATGTCTAGTTATGATCACATAAATTATAGTAAATCAGGGTGCATACGAGGCACGGTCAAAACATTCATTTTTCGGAAAAAAAAATTCGAGCACTATTCCCAAACCAATAAGTTATATTTTGGTGGGACATCATAGTTTAAGTCTATTGTAGGCTTCGAAAACGTATTTTGATTCTTGATAACTATCTCAGTTCGAGATATGAATTTTGTGTCACACCCCTTTTTGAAAATAATTGACAGCCTCACAAATAAAGGGATTGATTGATACTGTTGATTGAATGAAAGCTGAGGTGACTCACTAGCGAATTCAGTTGTTCAATATTGCTTTTCATTTAGATACAGGGTGTGTTGGATTTTTTTGGAGATTATTTAACATGTTTCAATTGAATATCTCGAAAACAGTTCCGTTAATTTGGATCTCATTTTACTGACACTATTTTGAATATGTTGACTATCATATGCGAAAAGTTTTTCAATTTTTTATGTTTCGTTTCTGAGATATTATTTTCACAGTATTTATTATATTACAGGTATTATAGGGTTATTACCTCGGATATTACTATCGATTCAACAGAACTTTACGGAATCTTTCGAACATTCAATTACATTATGAAACTATTAGAGATCAATAATTTGTTACTATAAATAACACGAACCACATAGAAAAACAATATGAAACTCAACAGTATGGATTCCGTGAAGTTCTGTTGAATCGATAGTAATATCCGAGGTAATAACCCTATAATTCCTGTAATACTATAAACTCAAGAATGCATATCTCAGAAACAAAACATAAGAAATTGAAAAACTTTTCGCATATGATAGTCAACATATTCAAAATAGTGTGAGTAAAATGAGATCGAAATTAACGGAATTATTTTCGAGATATTCAATTGAAACATGTTAAATAATCTCCAACAAAATCTAACACACCCTGTATCTGAATGAAAGGAAATATTGAACAACTGAGTCTGCTAGTGAGTTACCTCAGCTTTCAATAAATCAACAGTATCAATCAATCCTTTTTTTGTGATCAAAAGCAAGCTGTCCATTGTTTTCCAAAAGGGGTATAACACATGATTCAAAGAATTCATATTTCGAACAGAGATATTCATCAAGAATGGAAAAACGTTTTCGAAGCCAACAATAGACTGAAACCAGAATGTCTCACCAAAATATAACTTGTTGGTTTTGGAATAGTGCTCGAATCTTTTTCCGAAAAATGAATTTTTTGACCGTGCCTCATATACACCCTGATTTACTATAATTTATGTGATCATAACTAGACATGTATTTGAGTTCCGATCAATACATTTTCTAGCTTATTTTGTCTTATTTATACTAAAAAAACATTTTTTTTCTTTGTCAATCCTACCCCGATACGACGTTTTTACGAACTTTGTCGGCTTATATCTCAGAAACTAAACATACAAAACTTTTTAAACTCTCATATTTTTTCAATGAGCCATCCCACAACAACATAGTGTAATTTCAGCCAATTCGACCGAGAGCCAATTTCCCGTGTTTTCGTGCGGGGTCCTTTATTTCATTCGCTCACGACTTCCTGTTCTTGAAGAGAAATATCCTCAAATTGACATGATACTTATTACAAACTATTGAGTTGAAGAATTTTAGCGTTTGCAAAATGTTCTTTGGTTCGCCATGATTTTCTCAACGTTCAGTTCACAATGTATTGAATACATCAATATCCAATGAATTTTATGCAGAACGTTTCAATATTTATATAACTTAATATAGGTGATTTGATCTTCAAAACTATGTTTCATCAATGGATAACAATAATCAACAACCTGCATTTGTATAGTGTTTTGGTTTATACAGTGGGGACGTGAAAAGTCCTCCTCCTCTTCAACTTTTGAACAGGACAAGCTATAGCGAGATCGTGAAGAATTCAGGTAATTTTTGGTATGAAAATGGTTGTGGGGCCCAGTGGCAAGTGGGCACTACCAATTCCCTTTATTATGTAAAAGGGTCACACATCTTGGGTGATTTGAACAAACTAAGCATTGTTTGATAGAGATACGAAATACCTTTGAAACATGGTACCATACCCCACTGAGCAAAGTAATATCTCAACAATATTGCAGCAATATTTCAATGTTATGTGTAATGTTACATCAGATATTGTCGCTATCTTACTGCAAGGTCATAGTAACTACTGAAAGGGACGTTCAGCAATATTATGAATACGTATAATGTTCGCGAATGAATCATTCAAGCATAGTTATTGTAACATTGTGTATGAAGTACAGTAACATTCCATATTCAATAAACGAATGTAATCTCATTGTTATATTTCATCAAGGTTACTGGCAACATAAAATAAAAAGTATAGGATAATTACATATTTTATATTATAAATTGTATATAGCAACAATTTTCTGGTAATAATCGAATAATCGTGTCGACTATTTTATAATTTAAAAGTAGATTGAGAAAATTTCTAAATATTTTCGATATAACGGTACTACGGCTTATAGGCACTGCACTGCATAAGAACCTGGAACAAAGGAAATGATAAAGAGAATATTCCGAAAAACGATATTTGAGGATGTTTTAGAATGAATTGTGCGAGCTCAAAGTGCGAGCTCAAAGTGCGAGCTCAAAGTTTTTTCTAAAACAGCTAAGTGCAGTGAAATGAGAGATAAGATTTGACGATTTGAGCAATGATTCTACTATCACCATGAGGTTAAACAAAACCTCCATGCCCCTAAGTGTTTCAGTAATAAAAAGGATTGATTTTATATAATTTGTAATGTTTTATTGAGTTCCTGATAAAGAGCCGATAAAGACACGGAAGCTCAAACAGAAACAATAAAAGAGTAGGTACACTTTGATTCACTTTGACTGCACACTCAAAGGAATTCACAAGGTTGTCCTATAACTTTGAGTATATATACGAATAATTATAATCGTTCTATGTTATTTATTGTCGATCGAACGATCCGCTTAGATCAATGAACGATGTATGAATTTGTAAAATGTATACCTAACCTAGAATAACTGTTGACTTACCTAACCATCAACTGCTAACTGCGATTCAAAACCTTCCCATGCAACTGCCTTATATCACATATCGCCAGATCACCACTATACCTTAATTTATTTTCCAAAGTATATCATTTATTGGTATTATTTGCCATTTGGACGTGTACAACAACAAAATACCTGTTACTGAAGCCAAACACCAACAAATATGGCGACTGAGACACTGGCGTTTGTCGAATGCAAGTTTGCGACTGCGCATAGGCATTTCATGAAATGGCGTCTCTCGATCGATACCCAATGTCTCATTTTGTATATTTCAGCTATATTACATTTTTAAATCAAATATGTGTTGCATCCCATAAGTTTTAGCAATATTGTTTGTAGTGAGCTTATGTTATTCACACACTCAATGAAGTATAAATGTTAATGAAACATTACAATTGAAAATTCCATATGTAACGTTGGACTGATATTGTTCGTAGTTGATCCATGTGATGTTGCAATTTCAATGAGAATATATAGTTTGATGCAATATTGCTATTGAAACTCAATTGGAAGGGTCATTTTGTAACTTACAAACTATTTGTCTGTAAGTTTTTCTGTTATATGGTCAACACGAATATAGCAGCAAAATAGATACAATATTGTATTTTCATATTACGGAAGGAAGCTTCACAATATATTGCGGCAATATTTTGTAACATTACATGTTTAGTGGGACGTGCCCCTTCCCACATATGGAAGAAAAAGTTGGTGGTGCCTACTTGACACTAGGCTATGTGACTATGTGTGCTTTCATTCCTGAAAGTAGTGAATGTGGTACTTTTTTAGATGAAT